GGCAATGCTGTCAAAAACTACTTTTCTCCTCTTCGACTCTTCACTTCCAAGAAGACGTTACAGTATTTTCAGTGCACTTGACTACTTGCCACTCCTGGGATGCAGTCATCAACTCATCCAAAAATGGAGCCACTTCAAGCTCTGCACGCGACACAGCTGCCCCCTTGCAATTGGCAGGTGGATGTCGACACACGTTCTCATGTGCTGTGTGCCAAATGTGCTCACATGGGACACAGGGATGCAGGGAAGGTGTTCAGTGGCAGAGATGCACACTCAGCCCCACATGCCCATGTACACAGGTATGACACCCAGCAGAGGTGACCCTCAGGACCATGTGCTCTTCCCAGCCGTTCCCATGCACAGCACAGTCATGTATTTTTGACCACCCCAACAACAGCTGCTCCATCGTAATGCTGAATGTGCAAGCTCTGCACCCTTGGGATGCATGCTGAAATTAATGGGTCAAAACAACACTGCAGTGTGTAATGCTTCTGCTTGAGGACTGAAATCCTGACATTTCTGGACCTTGAAAATGCCAGACAGCAGCTCTCTGCTCCAGGGGAACATCACAGGCATCGCGTACCTCTTCCCATCCCTCCATGAACAGTCCATATGAGCAGAGCAACCAGCCCTGGGCAGCTCTCCTACCCAATGGACACTCTCCAGCTGGCACTGCAAAGGGATTTGAGCGAAGAAACTTGGAGGAAATCTTATGGTGTGTGTTGTTCCCTGCAAAGGGAATAGGACAGACTAAAAGGGCAGAGCTTTTCCAGGGGGCACAAGCTGGCATGATCTGGCTTCTGGGCTGCCAGGATGCTCTCAACTTCATCAGACAGTGCAACACATGATCTTCCTATCTGCAGTATTCCTGCCAGCCTCGTGTTTCAATTGCAACTTGATTTTAGCAGCTGCTTTCTCTCTTGGAGACACACACATACTCACACAAACACACCTCTTAAGCAGTTGTAAAATTAAATTTCAGCCAGGTAGGTAGGACCTCTTGTAAAGCACTTGGGACTCAGGGAGGGAGGGAACTTCAAAAATCCAGTCTTTTGCTGGAATTTGAGAGGTTTCTATCCCTGGCCTCCTTGCTTTATCAGCTCTTGAGACAGCACTGCTAAACGCGTATCGGCAGTGTGGAGGTAAAAAGTAAGGCAAATAGAAGAAAACAGAGAGTGGGAGACACTTGAAGCTGTCTGACATGATTTGCAATAGCTAGAGAAGTCTGCTGGAGGCTCTCACCTCTCCTCCAGCCTCTCCTCTACTCTCCTTGTCCCTGAATTCACCTCTCTGCTTCACTGCCATCAGTCAGCACAAACCCCCGCTCAGGCTGGTGCTGGCCATGACTTGTGGTCCCAGCCCAGCCTGGCAGCCACAACTGTGGCATCTGCACATCTTTCAAACCCACTGGAGCATTTGGGAGGCAGAGGTCAGCCTAAGCAGCATATGGAGCGATTGCACGGTGAATACCGGCCTCCTCAGGAGCTGTCTGCCACAGATGGAAAAAGCCCAGGAGCCATCACGACAAAATCTTATGGCTGGGGGCGACGCATCCTCCCTGTCAGCTTTCCAAGCCAGTGAGCAATATTGGAAACCTCAGCTCCTCTCCCACTAGTGCACACGCCCGTCACTGACTCATTCACTGCCGTTTCAGTCCTGCGGTTTGCCAGTGGGAGTTGTAGAAAGTGGGATGTGGAGATGAGGTAATCCCAATGGCATGTGGCTACCACGATGGAGGGGGACTAGCCACCCACTCCAGCGGTATGAGCTGGCTGTGCACAGCGTGGACGTGCCACTAAGATCCAGGTCCAATCTGCTGATGCAGCCACAGGGATTTTTTAACCTTAACTCTGAGTGGGGATGGGATATCCCACCACAGGACCATAGGAGGTCCTCTCCTGGAGAAAGGCATCCCTTTATGTGGTCCCAGAGCTTAGTCAATGTGCAACCAGGAATGGAGTTAATGGCACCGAAATGCAAGAGGGTCACCAGGAGCAATGCTCCAGCTGTGAGATCTCACAGGCCAAGTGACACAAGGCATTGCACAGAAGGCATGACATTTCCCCGGCTGAAATCACCCTCAAACCAAGCACAAGGTCACAGCCCCACACTAGCTAGAGACAAGCAAAGAGAGCCACCACAGTTTCTCCAGCTATGATTCCTTGGAGCACTGAAATTCCTCTCCATCTGAAACTATTCCACTGGCTGTAATTTAAAAACAAAATCAATCCAGCAAACATTGCTAAGCAACTGGCTGTCAGTGCCACATCCCATCCCATCGAAAGCATTTGCCCTCTCCATGGCCTTCTGGCAAGGAGCTTGCTGCTCAGCCTTTGCCAGATTTTGCAGCTATTGTTGGCAAGTCCAGGTGCCTGGCCGGATTACCAAAGAAAACTCCAGGAAATCTTCTGCAACCATCCTAATGAAAAATAGCCCACAGAGAAGCTGCAAGGAGCAACATTCCCACATCCCAGTCCCTAGGATCAGGACTACAGGCTGTGGGTCTCGAGACATTACCATGGTCTGCAGGCCTGTGTACCTCAGTGCTGCCACGTGTCATACAAAGGGGATAAAGGATTGGGAGTCAACACACTGGAAACCTGGTCACAGAGCAGAGCAATCTGCTTTAAGCAACAACATCTGACTGAGAGGCTGAAGGAGAACCTGCTTGCCCATGGGTATGAGCTGAAGAGATGGGTGAGACCCTCTCAGAAGCCTCCTAACCCCTCACGTGAGCCAGGCAGGAGCCCCTTGACATGGCAGTGCCCCTTAGTGTAGGATCTGTGACAGGATGTATCTTCCCCCAGTCAGCTGGAGCAAAAACAAGGTCCAAATCCTTGGGTTCACTCTCAAACAAGGAAGCCCAAACACTTCCAGTCTGGCTCAAATGAAGCAGCCTAATCTAGGTTTTCCATTGAAACCAAGCCCCTAAACACAGCCTCCAGTAGGTCATGCAGCATGAGCCCTGGGGGTGTCCCTTCTCCCTGGTTCACAGAATTCTACTCTTCCCTTTGCAGGAGGGACATCTCCTAGCCAACACCATGCTCGACTCTCTTTGTATATTTCCATGTATATTCTTGCATAGCCATCAGCAATTCGTCCCTGCTTCAAGAGCAGGCCACACTTATCCATGCTTCCCCACACAGTTGTACTGGACAACGCAAGACCAGCTTCTAGGTCACATGGTAGTGCCTGAGCATCACCTGCAGCAGCTCCCGGGATACCTGTGCTGTAAACAAGGATTATCTTTCCTGAGAGGGCTTAGCTATGCACTTTCCTCCCTCAACCAACCAACAATCCCAGATTCTTTTCCCTCCTCCATACTCCCCATCAGCGCCTGCCTCCCCCAGATCTCCCGGCAGCCCCATTTCCTCTGTGGCCGCTCTAATGCTCGGCTAATGGCGCATCATCCACAGCATTCTCCAGACATATTCAATAAATCAGAATCCAATTACCGGGTTAAGGAAATTGGAAACAAATTAAATTATCCCCAGCCCCTCCCAGGTGCTGTGCCCTCACTTCCTCCTTAATGAGAACTTTTCTTTCACAGGAGCACTCAGCGCCACATCTGCCCACCCAGGAACAAGGTGGCTGCCACCGCACAGCACGGGTATGGCAAAGGGGCAGCCGAGTCGATCTTCCCTTTTAATAGGGCAGATGGTTAATATCCCTGGCATTAATTCTCTCCAGGAATAGCACACTCGCTCTCTGCTCAGCTATAACAGGCGTCTGTCAGGGCTGACAGCTCCTCTACAGAGAAAAGAGCATCTGGTCCTTACTACAAAAAGAAGCTAAATAAATAAATAAGCACATTGCTTGTTATAGGGCAGGAGAACTGGTGCTGTTTCAGCATTTCAGCCTAAATGCTGCCTTTGAACTGGAATAGGGGAAATTCAGAGTTGGGTCAGATGCCGGGAGTGGAGTTGCTCTGATCTGGGAATAAGGTGCAGCACGGGCCATGACCAGGTCCAGCACAGAGCTCCCACCGAAGCAGGACTTCCCGCAAAGGGCTCCCAGGAGAAGATTGTAGAGAATGGCTGCTGCCAGCAAGCTGGGACATGATGCCAGGCAGAGCTCCTTGGAAAGGGCTTGCACGGCTGTGGGCTGGCGACTGACAGCAGGGGCCAGGCATATGCTGTGCCCTCAGAAGACAATGAGGAAAACTGCGTTAAGGGAACCTTGGGAGTTTTTTCTTCACCAGTGGGACACCTCTGCATCACTCCATCCAGCAAACTAACAATTAACCCCACTGACCTTCAATAACCTGCACCCATAAAGGGCAGCTCTTCCCTGATGAGTCTGGAGAGGCAACGACAGGAGGCTACAGCTGCGCTCTCAGCAAGCAAGGGTGCACCAAAACTCCCATCCCACCCTTCTCGTGCTGACAAGGAACCAGGGCTCTGTCTACAACACAACCCTTGCTGCAATCCTCCCTGCCTCTCCCAAGGGGTCCTCTGGGTGCCAGAGGATATTTTTTACCTCAGTGGTTCTGGAGCAGCCAGTAATCAGCAAGTTCTTACCCCTCTCTCCCTCTCACTCAGCCATTGTCTCTCATTCCCCACTCCTCTCTCTGCAGAGCCAAATCAATGTTCAACAGTTATTTTATCCGCCTTGCACCACTTCACTGCATTGTCTGCAGACCAAGAGCTCCCAGCAGCAGTGAAAACTTTTACCATCATGGAGACGTGTTCTTGCACACCCATTACTTTTCTGAAGCTAAAAAAAAGGCTTTTCCTCTCTTTCCTTATAGTCCCAGGAAAATTTATATAGGTTTTAATTACTAGGTTTAAGACTTCCGGACATGCTAAGAAATCAAGCAAAGTGAGTCAATCCTAAAAATATAACTCAGGCAGAAGCAATCCCAAGAACACCCACGGGGTGTGGGCCAAGGGCCCAGACCCACCTAGCACCCCAAAACCATGGTCCTGAGGAGAAACGGAACTATCCACCCATATAATGAAGTTTTATGAGATCAGGAGAAACCAAGGGGGAGGTAGAACCTGTGATGGCGGGTGTCACGGACAGCACGGTCACTGGGGATCCTCTCGCTCTCCCGCTGGTTAAAGGCATGGAGCCGGTACGGGTCCTCGCCGCCCTTCCACCTCCGGGCACTCAGGTACCTCCGCTCTTCAAACTGATCCCAAAGGTCGTCCCAGTCCACATCCGATTCCTGCGCGCACAAAGTCAGCCCCGTTAGAGAGAGGAGAGACCAGAGGACACCTGACCCCACTCCGGAGATCCTCCCAAGTCCCACCAGAGGTCAGTTAGCCCTGCAACATGGGCAAGCATTGCAAGAGCAGGCCAAGAAGGAATCCCATTAAGTCTTCAGGGTTTATTTTTTTTTCCTTAGGTCCCAAAACACCATGTCAAAGAGAGCCTGCCAATTTGAATTTAAAATTACTAATCTGAAAACAAATTCAGGTCTCTGGGGGATCCCCCTCTCAAGCAGCATGGTCTCAAGAAATATAAAAGTGCAAAGGTTTTGTAAGGGTTTTAATTTCTCTCCAGCCAAAAACCAAAGGTATTTTACATCACTTGACCCATCACCCCTGTAACCCTTCAGGCAGGAAAGGGCTACCAACAGGAGCCGTTTCATCAAGCACAGTCCCACATTTCCGCAGTCACTCCCTAGGCTGAGGGCTGACTCCAGCAACAGGACTCTAGAAGAAGGGGGCCACCATCCTCCCAGCCCAATTTCAGCCCATCTTTGCCACAACAAGTCTCCCACTAAGGTCTTCAGCCCTACCACAGAGAGAAGAGCAGGCAAGCAGTGCTTGTGTGGTCCCCCCTCCAGAAGGATGGAGGAGCTGCACTTTGGGGTTACCCAACAGCTCTGACAACCATCAGGGGTTTAAGCATCTCTTGGTGGCTTGGCGCTGGCGGGGGGGTTTAAGCATCCCTCCACAGCATGATGCTGTCAGGGGGTTTAAGCACCCTTTGGCAGTGTCTGAGCCAGCCAGCACAATACCATGCTGATAACATCTCATCGTTACAGCAGCACAACCTCTTTGATCTCAGCCTACCTGTAACATGGAGAGATGCAAACGTTTACAGACATCTCAGCCCTAAAGAAAATTGTGATCTTATCCAAAAATTGATCTTTTCTTCTTCTTTTCTTCTTTTTCCCCCTCCTCAGTTCACACCATCTCAAAGCCGATTTTGCCTGCTAATAGCACAAAATGAAGCTTTTGAAATGGTTGATTTTTATCCTGTAATTGATTTTACTCGCATCTGGCAGCGCATTTTCTGTAGTCATAGGAAGGGGAGAAGGGAGCACTGGCTCCTGCAAGTGAACCACTGAGGGACCAAGCCAGGCACCTCCAAACACAGGATGCCCCACATTGCTCTGGGTTACAGCAACGTGAGCACTTCCAAATAGGCAGCAAAGCCCAGGGATGTAGGGGCTTCCAGACATGGGGTTGTATTCATCCTCCCCTGGTGCGAACCCATGGCCTTCTCAGGAGCTCCTCCAGCATTTACCCCAGTGGGGGAATATCAGAAGAAGCCACCATACTGGGAGAAAGTTAATCAAGACCAAGGGAAAGTTAACCAAGGCTGTGAGAAAGTTATGAAACCAGTAAGGTCACTGCAGGAGGTTTACGAGGAGGATGTACAGAACCCGCCTGCGGACTTTTGGGAGGACCGACGTGCTCAGGGTGATAAAAACTGTTTATGCTTTTTTTCTAAGGCATCTTGCAAAACGTGATTTACTGCCACAGTAAAAGATCAGGGAAAAGAGAGGCGATTGCATCGCGGAGCCACCGACAGCCTGATGTTTATAAGATTTCACGATGACCCCGGGAGGCCTAGTGCCGCTAAAACAACCGCCACGGAGTTGCAGTCTCTAAATTTTAATGCTGTGAAGAAAAATAAAACTTGGTTTTATCAAACTTAATAAGAAAAACGGCTTTCAAAAGTGGCCACGTAGCACTTGAGGCTGTAAGATGTGTGAATATATATGTTTGTTTGTTTTTTTGGTTTTTAACGTTAGTTAAACCCAAAAGCCTTGGATCAGCTAGAAGGGCACAGGTGGGAAAGAATCTGATGGCTCAGGTGGGAGGACTGGTGGATTTCTGCAAGAAACCGTGGCTCCAGGAAAACTGGAGCTTCTGCACCTGCTGCAAGGGCAGTGATGCTCTGGCCAGGCAGCAGAAGCAGGGGTTCAACACACAACAGGGTCCTGGCCTGTGCTTCAGGGTCTGGGATGGCATTTTCCCAGCATCCATCTAACCCCAGTAATGTTCTGTTGCTGGGGAATCCCAGCAGTAAATCAATACAAGGACAAATACCACTGGCTTATCCCATGATATTTGCTTCTCCTACTGCCATAGATATACCTTGCACCCCAGGGTTGCATTCTTGGTTTGCTCTGCAGTGAGTAACTAATACTCCTATGAAATCTCCACCTGAAAGACATCAGCCCCCACCTTGATTCATCGAGGCTCTCCTTTTTGGGTTGAGGAAAGATATCAGTAGGATGGTTACTAAATACTGGGTAATTAAATACACACCTGAGATCAAGAGCAAATAGATGCCAGAGATTAAAGAGTTATTTTAATCCCTATCTGGCCACAAAACAAACCCAGAGATGGGGTTAACTTTCTCAGCCAGAAGTAGATACCTGGGAGGGTCGTTCACTTTCAATCCACATCACCTGTCCAAATCTTCTGGGTGCTCTTTCTACCCCAAGCCTCCCTACCAAAATTGGAACAGGATGCTCAGACACACATGCACACCAACCTCTGCAAAAAAACCCCTGCACAAAGCAGAGAAGGAAAGCAAGGCAGCATCCTCGGATGAAAAGCTGCCAGCTATGCAAATCATGGGAGGCAGGAGACCTCACCAATGCAGGGATTCACCTGTTTCTTGGCGCCTGATCAGGGACAGGGAATGAGAGTTAAAGCATCAGGAGAAATCCCCTTTACTCATCCAGGGACAGCACATCGGTTACAGGTTACCAGATAAGGTCTTCATCATAATATTTCCACCATGTATTATCACCTCTTCCTCACACCAGAATTCTGTCTTGGGAGTTATTTAACTGATATGCAGAAATCTACATTTAATTTATTATGATCTAACTCACTTTAGAGGCCAAATTACCGTGCACTAGAAAAGGATCAAGTCAATACTCCACTTGCCTTTCTATTTATCTTCTACAGGGTTCGTCTCTCCAAGTTTCATATTCATTTTCTCTCATGTACAAATAATAAATTTTCTTTTTTTTGTTGGAATTAGGTAATTTCTCTTTCAACATTGCAGTTTAATGGCTGGTATTAATTATAGGAAACACAGTCAATGCTTAAAAAGAGTTTGAAAGACTCAATGAGTCTGAAGGAAAGAAATGAAAAATATATCCAAGGGGCAGCTGTCTGCTCTTGGCGAAGAAGTGTTGCCCCTTCTGACACCGCACTGGGGGGATCCCCAGGGCATGGACAAAACTCATTGTGGAGAGGAGCTCCCTTCTCACACCAGCATCCAGCCACGAGAAAGGCTCACCAAGAGCTTTCTCTGCTATCTCACTTAAAGAACCCCCCCCCAAAAAGACCCACTAAAGGCACCCCCCCCAAAACTGCCCGCCCCCTTGCTGGCAAAGGGTAAATGGCCCAGAGCCAGCACGGAGGCAGCTTTTCACCATAACTGCACATTAAAGATTAAAAGCCTCTCAGTGCAAAGATGTCGTTCGTCATCTGCCTCCTAAATCACGGCTCAGAAACAAAACAAAAAAAAAAAGGGGGGGGGGGAAAAAAAATTAAAAAAAAAAAAGGAGTGGTGCTGCAGGGGGAAAGTGGGTCATTAGCAGTAAAACTACAATTTTCTGGCAACTGCTAATGCCTTGTTTATGTGGATTTCTGCGAATATGACATTTTAATGGCATAATAATTGTGTGATTACAGTACAGCAGGGATTGCTGGAGCGGGAAGGAGGAACAAGCAACTCAGCCGGCTGCTAATGCAGGCCCACAGCGTCCCCATGGGAAGCTCTGCTCCTGCAGGCAGCCCCCAGCACCCCTCACTGGCATGGGAGGCCAGAGCAGGCTGGACACTGGGCAGGGAGCAGGCATGTTGTGGCAGCACTTTGGCTGCTGTGAGGCAGCCCAGCAATGAAAGGGTATTTCAGGTGAAAAGCCTGGCCCAAGCACAGCCAGCGGTGACTGGGGACAGGCAGATCACACCGGAACCCAGGACCAGCCTCCAGCTGCCCAGGAAGACAAGGAGTGGGTGGTGCAACCCAAAAGCAGATTCTGATTCACTTTCTTCTTTCATGGCACTGTTTTAAAATAGAGAACTTAAACCTTTGCTAAAATAAAAGCCATTTTCCTTTTAGGGATGCTGAGTTTTGCCTTTAGACCAGAGTGAATTGGACTGGCACCATGAGCATCCTTGCAGGAGGCAGCAAACCCAAGCCAGCCCAGTGGGCTGACAGAGCTGACAGGGTTTGACAGGAAGCCCCATCTTTGGCCAGAAAAGACGTTCTGCCTGTGCAGGTGCAATGATGATCCCAAAGGGGTCTGGCAGCAGCCAAACATGCCTCTACCTCCATTTGCCTCACACCCAGCTTTCCCTGGAAAATCTCATCCCTACATAATCTCTGACCGAGCACTGAGCCTTCCCTGGGACTCAGGCATTAAAAAATAGGAGGGGAGGGGGAAATAAAAAATTACATCTGGCTATCAAAAGTTCCAATAAACAAGTGAAAGCTCTAGAAACTCAGAAGCCGTGTGGCATGTTGTTCCCTGGCCATGCTCTGTCACTCCTCTGCCTGCTAGGACATCTTTGTGTTCAGCACAGCTCAGGGGCACTGGAGGCAGAGGGCAATCTTCCAGCAGGAATTGCAACCAGGCATTATACAAATGAGATTTAAATGTCCCACTGAAGCGTGGGGCCTCTGCAAGCAGGAGGTTCAGTTATAAAGCTGTTACTGGCCGAGGCACAAATGCCATCTGAAAGGATTATAATACTTCAAACAGGATAGGGCTCATCCCTTCTTGTCCCCCGGTGCCAGGACATGCACTAAGAGGGTCAGCAGCACCAGAGGGAAAAGAAGTGGGACAGGATCACACTGCCTTCATCCTCATCCTTGAATAACCCAGATGGAGCACTGAGGTACAAGATCCTTCAGTCAAGCTTTGGTATAGTTTTCTTGACACCAGAGCCCAGTGCCTTGGCT